GACCGAAAAGGGCACTCCTGGGGCTAATCCCTCCTGAAATCCTATCATTGCCCAACTAGCTGGTTGGGGTGGGGATGCTCCCCTGAGAAAATTTTGAACCTCGGAAATGCCATTTCTTGCATTCTGAGCATCCGATTTCTTCCTAATATTTGTCCTCAACGAACCTGTTATTCAGACAGACAAAAAGTAAAAAAAACCCACAAAAATAAATGGGGAGTGTTTGCTATGCACCTATCAATGTTAACACCCAGAGGGGGGGGGGGGGTCGGGCATACGTGGGGTATTTGATCATCAATTGCATCCCCACCCTGGGGATTTTGATTAGCATTTTGGCCCCGAGTTGGGGCAATTTGAACCAAATGACTTTTATCAAGATAGTATTTATTGCAAAATGGTGGGTCATTTGACCAATATTTATTGCCCGACGGTGGGGCATTTGATTGAAAATTTGATCAAAAAACAAATGCCCCACCTATGCCCGACCCCCCCCCCCCCCCTCTGGGGCTTAACATTGATAGGTGCATTAATTAAAGTCAAAATAAATTTAGAATTTCCTACTAGGGCCATGTCTTTGGACTTCAATTTATGACCGATCTATCATCTTACGCTTTCTAACAATTCCCCCTCTCCCCGTTGTGCCCAAAACGGCATTGGCCAAATATCATTCAAATAAGAAAAGGGTATTAATGGAGTGGAATGCTCAGCGAAGCGTAACGATAATTATGCTTCATTAAATGTTAGCACTGAAAATGAATGATTTGTTGAATCATCCTCGTTCCCGGGGCTTCTCGGCTGTCTGATGGCAACGTCAGGCAGCCGAGAAGCCCTGGGAACGAGGATGTTTGTTGAGCACCACAAACTGCGGATTAAGGATTGAACTACCTCAAAAATACAAGCAAAACCTGGATGTTTCCGGCAAAAGCGTTTCGTTGGGAAATTGGTAGAAGGGTTCCGCTCGAAATCGGCTGCGAGCGGTCCCTCCTTTCCGCGGGTTTAGATTTCCGGGCATGTGAAATGAAAGGAGGGTCTGCAGACAACACGTCAAGAAACGAAATACGCGTTGCCCACACAACGCAAAATTTCCATTGATGGAATCGGTACGCCTGTCAATCAAATCTGATATGTAGTAATTATGCTGTAAGTAATTTCCAGACTGAATGTTGATTTTATAAATAAACATGACATTACAGTCGATTTCACGAAATTTTGACCACAAATGTTCCGAACTTCGTTGCGAAGTTCTCGAGTTCGTTGCGAAGTTCAAAAGTTCATAATGAGATTCACAAACCAGTTTGTAAACTACGCATTTGATTGGCTTCTTTTACTTCATGGACCAATCAGGGACTTTGTTTACAAATTGGCTTGTGAATTCCAATATGAACTTCTGGAGGATGCTCTATTTACTGTTCGGAGTACTCCGGATTTTCGGAACACTAATGGACCTTTCCCCATATAACTAAAATTTTGATCTAGACAAGTCTAGACAAAAATTTTATCACAGCTTGAAAGAGCATCACATTAGTAATATTCCAAAGTTTCGTTGCGAAATGTTGTAAAATGCGGATAATATAGCCTTGCGAAATTTGCAATTTTCAGTCATTTTGTATTACAAACGGGAAATTGATGCCCCAACCCCCGATTGGGCTGTCAATTTCCCGTGCGTATTATACAAAATAACTGAAAAACGGCAAACTTCGCAAGGCTATATTATCCGCATTTTACAACATTTCGCAACGAAACTTTGCAATATTACTAATTTTGTGATGCTCTTTCAAGCTGTGATGAAATTTTTGTTGAGATCAAAATTTTAGTTATAAGGGGAAAGGTCCATTGAATCGAAGCGAAAACGGTCACATGACTGTTATGGCTGCCCCTACTTTTCATTAGGGTCAGCCAGAACAGACATGTGACCGTTTTCGCTTCGATTCAATTGATGTTCCGAAAATCCGGAGTACTCCGAACAGTAAATGGAGCAGCCTCCCGAACTTCGCAACGAACTTGCGAATTTCGCAACGAAGTTCGGAACATTTGTGGTTAAAGTTTCGTGAAATCGACTGTAACGGTTGCTATTGGATAGATTTAATTGGATATAAGTAATGTTTATGCAAAGGCGGAGCCAACTGGACAAGAGCGAAAAATGGGCGTATTTCGTTTCTTGACGTATTGTCGGCAGTCCCTCCTTTTTCCCAAGGGACTGCTCGCAGTCTACGCTCAAAACATCGAAATTTTACTTGTATTTTCCCCTCACAATCCGAAAGTTTCTAGCCGATAAACTATTTGTTTATGTCACACTATTGTCTTTGTATGTATAGACAAAAAAAGACAAAAGGTTTTCCCAACGGGGGGCTCAAAATCTATTAATGTCGCCAACTATAGGCTCTGTAGAACAATGGCAATGTAGACCTAACGGAAACTTGGTAATGATTTTGCATTGAAAACTGTAAACCTATAATTAATCCGTAACTGTTTGATAAACGTTTGAAATTTCACCGGATTTTGTGGATTTTAGCGGATTGTACGCGTGTCGAGAAAGCTATAAGGTATGTAATAAGGGGCAAGTATTACTATTCTCATTATGATTGGAGAAACAGCTTCACCGAGATTATATTTTTCGTGTATTGAAATATATTGTCACGATCATTCGCAATCGCCCACTCAGAACAGTTTATAAGAGAAAGTAAAGTAGTCAGGTTGATTAAAATGAGTCTAGGGTTCGTTACGAACAAAACTTCGGTTTGGTAGGGAAAATACAAGACGAGCTTCAACATTTTGAGTGGTTTGTAGCCATCGTGAGCTCTAGTTTGTAGCCATCGTGAAGTTAGGGAACGTCAAACTTGTATTTTTGAGGTGGTTGTATCACTATCAACCGAAGATTTATTATTGTTAGCGAAGACTGTACAAGGGTTAACGACTACTGCGTGATAGAAATCGACAAGATACTGGTTATTGAATTATATTCAGCAGTTTCCTTGGAAGCTGTGAAATAGTCTACTTTTCGGGGTGCGATAATTTATGCACTTATGTGCAAGAGGTATGCCGATATTACGGATATTATATAGTACATATTGATTATTGCTTTAAGATTAAGTACTATTTAAAACACGACAGCGCAACTCGAGTGTTTTACATCTGATAAAGCACGGATTGCGAGTGTTTTAAATGGCTTAAAAAACTACTCATCTTATGAGTTCATTGGCGAAGTAATTTTGGAAATCAATGTTGTTCAAGCCGAGAAAATCATAGCTAAAGTCTATGTAAATGTCACATATAAAACCAGAGACAAAGCAGTAATTTCTTGTGTATTTTCGTCATGAATTATTAATGAGTTTTAAAAGTAATATCTGTGTATCTATTTATCACATTCTTGTGCCTTTATCATGAGGGCGATAACAAGGTGACATAAAAACAATATGCTACTGATATCGTCGGGTTTTTTGCACTGATATCGCTTCTTGTCCAGCTATTTTAATAATTGTTGCATTGAGGAAATCATTAATATTCTAATAAATTCTAACTCGTTCTGTAACAAGTTTGGAACAAGCTGTTTATATGATGACAACTTATAGCAAGCTATCGTCCTTCAAGCAATAGAGGGGGAGTAGTGCTTGGTACTTTCACAGTTGCGTAAAAACGCACAAGTTGTTACAGGTCTGCAAACAAGCTGTTACAAATCTGTTCACAAGCTGTCGACAAGTTGTGTTCGCACTGCTTGTTCCCAGTTGTTGTAACAAGTTTGGCACAAGCTGTTGACAACTTGTAACAAGCTTGATGGCATTATCAGACTTGTTACAAGGTTGTTCTAACAAGTCCGATAGAGTCATGATATAACAAGAATGTTACAAGGTTGACAACACAAGTTGTAACAATATTGTTATATCACGAAACACGAATGTATCGGACTTGTTGGAACAACCTTGCAACAAGTCTGATAATATCAACAAGGTTGTTACAAGTTGTTAAGTGATGTGAGATTTTAGTGTGTGTATGTGGGTTCATAGTTGGTCACTTTCTAGAGATTATATAATTATTTTTTAACTTTTACTTTCGAAATCTGCTAAGTTGTATTTTTATAATTATAATTATAATATGCATAATAGACAATTGCTTTTCGAATCTCCAACAGAGACATTGCTGTGGATTATGGCATTGACTCGCTAGTATTGTTTAGAAGTGCTTAGTAAGGATTTTTTTCAGAACTACAAATTGAGAACAAGATAGACGAGCCTGTAGAACCATTTCATTCACCGACAGAGTAAGACATGGCTATGGCCGATCGCGAGGATTTCTCCGATATTGACCGTCATCACATTCTATCCATTGCAGGTAAAATAATAAGAGTTGTTAACGTTTTGTAACGTTGATCAGAGCATTACAAGGAACCGGTAGTTTCATGTTGCGACATGTCATTGCTTCGTGTCACACAGTTTAAAAAAATAATTTCGAAAATAGGAAAATTTCTGTGCTTTTTTCATAATTTTATTTAGAATATATTTATTTCACTAGTCTATCCAAGTAATCCCACGTATCAATGGAGATAATCTTGTTTCATTTAACTACTTATAAATAAGTCGTTTATTTTCATGTCATATTACATTTTCTTGAGCAAATGCTTTGAAGTTCAAGTAGTCAATTTATTTCACACTATTTGACATATACATTACATTGGACGAGATATTCATAATATAACTTCGGTGTAAAGTTTTAAATTATGATATTCAAATTGTGCACAGTGACAAAAGTAGCCAAAGGCTTTCGATTTGGCCACCGAAAATCTTGAAAATACGGAAACCAAACCGATGCTCTTTCACCCCCAAAAGACCAGAAGCGAGATGAGATTTTCTGGAACAGCCCAGCTAATCGTTGATATATTTTAATTATATTTGATGGGTGATGTCTGCCGTACATGCCTCGAAATAAATCTGGAGGGTAGACGGGTGGATTATGAAATTAATCGGTTACGACGGACGTTTTGCCGACCATCTTTCGTTTACCTAATTTGATAATTATTCTGAAGAACATGCTCATGTTCTTTGGCGAGAATTATGATACAAATTATGAAGTTTTGTGTGAAATATGGTCGCCGTACATGCAGTTTACACAAGAATATTTAGTATTTGGTTGGTGACAAACAAGAGACTTGTTTGCCATAAACATATCTGAGCCACAAAATTTTGACGATATAGACGAAAGAAAGTAAGTCGGGAAACAAAAGCCTACTTGTGTTTAGAATGTTGCGTCATAAAAATTGTAACGTCATAAAAATTCTAAAAGCTTAAGCGTTTAACATATATAGTTGCCCATTTTATATATTTTGTATATCCTTACTACAAGTATTCCTGACAAATTTCAAGTCGATTCAGTAATTCCTTCGCGAGTTAAAGGGGCTTGGATAATTTATATTGCTGACATCAGCATTATTTTGAAAGGCCGTTATAAGCTACGCGGTTTTCCAAACCTAAGTCGAAATACTTCTGTGGGCTTTCAAAAGCTTTATATATACTTGACGTCAAACATAATTGTGGACCTGTGTGATAAAATATATTTTTCTTTGGGCGTTTACTACACGGCCGCCATTGGGTTAGCACTAATTTCCATCTGTGAAATTGACGTGACGTCATTTTCGGAAGATGGAAGAGGTGTTAAATGGCTGTGTAACTAACCCAAACCCTACCCCTACTCTAACAGCAACTCTAACTCTAACCCTAACCAAATTTATAAAAAAATCCAGAAAGAAACAACTTTAGAAATTGATCAAATTACGCAATGTCAGTTTGATAGATGGAAACAAGCGAAAACCCCGCCGGTGGTCTAGATTCCGTAATACTGGGCCAGCAACATGGCGGCCGTGTAGTAAATGCTCAAGAAAAGTTATATTTTATCACACAGGTCCACAATTATGTTTGATATTGATTATATAAAACTTTTGAAAGCCCACCGAAGTATTTCGACTTAGGTTTGGAAAACTGTGTAGCTTATAACGACCTTTCAAAATAATGCTGACATCAGCAATATAAATGATTCAAGCCCCTTTAACTCGCGAAGGAATTACTGAATCGACTTGAAATTTGCCAGGAATACTTGTAGTAAGGATATACAAAATATATAAAATGGGCAACCATATATGTTAAACGCTTAAGCTTTTAGAAATTTTATGACGTTACATCACATGTTTTCCAAAATCCGCTTGTGTAAGCATTTTTTCCAAAATCTGCTTCTGTGAGCATTTTTCCGGTCATGTGCTTCTGGCTTCCCTGCTAACAGAGGTGTCTATATTTGTGCAGGAAAGCAAAGGAGAAGAGACTTCGCTTCCCTGCACAAATAGAGACCTCTCTCAGTAGGGAAGCGTCTGGCAGGCTTCAAGCCAGGATCTTGTGAGAGGGTGTAATGATATACTGATACATCTACAGCAGGGGGTGGGGGTTTTGAGAAAACATTCCTCTGGGAAACTTTTGAAGTTTGGGTCTGAGACTCTTAAACAGTATTAGAGGTTTACATTACTTCATGGGAGCCCTTCTGGCTCGGTGTCCGGTAAACAATGATATTTGCTAGTGAAACTAAAAAATATCCTGGTCAACGACTCGTGACCGTTACTTATGTTGAGGTCTGCTGGTACACTGCAGACCTATTTAATTTTTTTTAATTTATAAAATTTAGGCGATGATAAAAATGCAAGAAAAGTCATCGTGGTTTCAGCGTGCCGATTGCCTCCGAAAACTGAAATTAATCATGACAAACTGTTTAGGTAAATTCCTTTCTGTCATTTCTTTTTTAAAAATTTGTTTACATGCTTAATTGTTTGTTTATTTTGTTTATTTGTTTACTAGTAATTGTTATCTTGTTTAGATGTGTACATGCTTTAAATGTTTACCTATATTTACTTGTTTATTTACACGGTCACACATACTTATTTGTTTTAAACACTTGTTTACTAATTTACTTGCATAGTTTAATTGTTGATGTTTATTTGTTTACTTTAATACAGTATTTGTTCATTAAATTCTTTACTAACTTCTTGACTTGTTTGCTTGTCTATTTGTTAACTTGTTTATCAAGTTCCCTTGGTTGTTTACCTCCATGTATAGATACATGCAGTATACATTGGATCAATATGTAGAGAATGATTACTCTATTGTATACCTCCATCATGGTCTAAACAGTGAAAATAGACCTTCAATTTCATGGTTGGTTCACGTTTACCATGTACTCGATCGAAAGTAAGTTTAACATTCAATTTTTTAAAAAATTTTGATGCGTTTCTCAAACGGCAAACAAACTAAAAAGTATGTTTAGTGCTTTATCTGTAAAATTATGCTAAAATGAAGAGATTTTAGATAGTTTACACAGTTAGCAACCTTTTTAAATGTAACTGGCGGTTGAGAAAAACAAAATAATAGTTAAGTTATAGTAATAGTTAACAGTTCATTTATGGAATGTAGTGTGTAGAAGTGCATCACCTAATAGCTTCGTGACATTATTTACTTTTAAGAACTTTCTTCGTCGGACTTATTCGTTTTTACGTAATTCAGTTTTTGACGTAGACATGCCATGTACCTGGTCTCTTGTTCGAGACTGTCCATGTCACAGAAACTAAAATAATGTATAGTTCTTTGATTGAAGTAAAGTTCGTTTCGTGTACATACCTAAGTCACATGTTTTCAAAACCAAGTTAGTTTTATTTTCCGTACAAATTTTCCAAAATCTTCATGCATTTTACGTATTTCGAGATCCTGTGGGTATGCGCAAATCGAGCTTTACCTCAACTATAATTTATAGTGTAATGTAATTTTTTGTGTAAAGTTTGTAAGGGAGGTGCCTCGCATGGGCTTTTTCTGACCCGTTTGCACCTTTCCTTTTGGGAAACACCTATTTATCGTTATTGTTAGTATTCCCAATAAAGTTATAAAGAAAGAAGTCAAGTATTGTCAATTTAACTACAGTTATCGTTGATGCTGTAAAATTGACGCCATATTTATACAGCGATATAAGCAAAACTTACTGAACTTCAGACATCATTTTCTCTTTGACGTACCACAAAATAAAGCTAAAACAAAGTAATTTTGAGAGGAACGCCAAACAGATTTTAGGTTTCAACACTTTTCATTGCAAATACGTGACATTGAAAAAATTGCCTTTTTCTTTACACCCACTCTTTGACTTTGTCATGCATATGTTGAGTTATCCATGTGCATTATTATTGTTTTTATATTTAGGTACAAGAAGAATTTGAAGGCTCTGTTTATTGTCCATACAACAGGATTCGTTAAAGTTATCTGGAGTGTCCTAAAACCGTTCATTAGGTTGGTGCTTAAACGTTCAAATCCTGCAATATACATGTTCAGTTGTCTGATTATATATCTCACTCACATGCGAGAAGACTGCTCCCAGCTGGACTCTCACCCAATAAGTGATGACTCTTACTGGACCTCTAGGGACTAGTAGGGAGAACAGTTTAGAACTGATAGAACTATCCAGTATAAATAAAGTTAGTTTAGTTTAGGTTTCCTCCTGTAGTAACACTGGATCAATAAGAGATGATCCTTACTGGACCTCTAGGAAGAACAGTTTAGAACTGATAGAGCTATCCAGTATAAATAAAGTTAGTTTAGTTTAGGTTTCCTTCTGTAGTAACACTGGATCAATAAGAGATGACCTTTACTGGACCTCTAGGAAGAACGGTTTAGAACTGATAGAGCTATCCAGTATAAATAAAGTTAGTTTAGTTTAGGTTTCCTCCTGTAGTAACACTGGATCAATAAGAGATTATCCTTACTGGACCTACAGGAAGAACAGTTTAGAACTGATAGAGCTGTTCAGTACAGTGATAAATAAACGTGTGATAAACTAATTTTCACCAATATCTTTACTTTGTAGTACCAATTTTGCCAAGAAAGTTGTGTACGCCAATCGTTTGTCAGATCTGGAAGAACATTTGTATCTGGCGCAGATTGATATTCCAGAACTCGTTAAAAAGTAGGTTCATGCAAACATACTTCCACTTACTGTAGTCTCTAAAATTAATGATTCTTACTGGACCTTTAGGGCGCTTTCCATGTGACGAAATTCCGGAAATCTTGCTTGAAAATCAAATGGAACACGTTAATTTCTGGAATGATGTTTCTTTAATTTCGAAGAGTTTGACATTGCCGCTCAAATCTCTCCTGCCAGCATTCGGCGAAATAAATCCAGACTCGTGGCACTGAAATGGTCGAGAACACGCCATTTTGGTTTTGGTGGCGGTTTTTGCTCAAAAAACTTTTGGAAAGCAGCAACGTTGGTTGGGAAATGTTTTAATGGCATGTAAAAATTTCCGAAATTCCGGAATTTCCAATTTGTGGACAACCTCGAGAGATTGTCCGGAATTTTCGAAACAGCATTCCAGAAATTAACGTGTTCCATTTGATTTTCAAGCAAGATTTCCGGAATTTCCGTCAAATGGAAAGCGCCTCTAGCGAGAACAGTTTAGAAATGAAAGAGCTATCCAGTGTAAATAAACTTAGTTTATAGTTTAGGTTTCCTCCTGTAGTAACACTGGATCAATAAGAGATGACTCTTACTGGACCTCTAGGAAGAACAGTTTAGAACTGATAGAGCTATCCAGTGTAAATAAAGTTAGTTTAGTTTAGGTTTCCTCCTGTAGTAACATTGGATCAATAAGAGATGATCCTTACTGGACCTCTAGAAAGAACAGTTTAGAACTGATAGAGCTATCCAGTATAAATAAAGTTAGTGTAGTTTAGGTTTCCTCCTGTAGTAACACTCGATCAATAAGAGATGACTCTTACTGGACCTTCAGGAAGAACAGTTTAGAACTGATAAATACAATTACTTTATGTTTGTGTGATGTTACTCTGAGTGTATATCCACACCGGGCAGGCTTGAAAAATATGCCTGGCCACGGCGGGATTCGAACCTACGACCTTTGGAATACTAGCCCAATGCTCTTCCAACTGAGCTACGCAGTCAGGACGGTTCGAGTAAGCGATATTTCGGAACTGAGTCTAGTTCCTTCGATATCAGTGTAATCTAATATTTATGAAATCTGCGTGTTGGTGTAATGTACTCAGGTGAATAAGATGTTTGTGTGATGTTACTCTGAGTGTATATCCACACCGGGCAGGCTTGAAAAATATGCTTGGCCACGGCGGGATTCGAACCTACGACCTTTGGAATACTAACCACGTAGCTCAGTTGGAAGAGCATTGGGCTAGTATTCCAAAGGTCGTAGGTTCGAATCCCGCCGTGGCCAGGCATATTTTTCAAGCCTGCCCGGTGTGGATATACACTCAGAGTAACATCACACAAACATCTTATTCACCCTGAGTACATTACACCAACACGCAGATTTCACAATTACTTTAGTTTAATATCTGTTTCATGTTCTATAATATGTTCACTTCTATAGGCATGATCAGGAAATTTCAGCAAGATACGAACCAACATATTCACCCGCAGTTTCTGGCACAGCTTTGGATATATCTCTGCCTGAGACACAGCAATTTGGTGTCACTTTGGAAAGGTGAGGGTTTGACTATGATTGGACATTTCTGGGGAGGATTGCACGATTTTAGAAAAAAACTAACGTCCTTTAACTAGTGGTATCTCTATTTTGCACGAAAATGAAATGATACCAATGTTCCAATAAGAAGTTCCTTAGGGCGAAATGATCTTGTAACAAGGTTGTTGTGAAGCCGATATCAGGATGTGTTCGCACTGCTTGTTCCCAGTTGTTGTGACAAGTCTGGAACAAGTTGTTATCACCTTGTTACAAGGTTGATGACGGTAACAGACTTGCTACAAGTTGTTCCAACAAGACTACTATAATACAGGCTGTTCATAATAAATTGTTACTTGTTTTACAGAATAAAATCACATACAGGTGAAGATATTCCTTCTGCTGTACAATGTACTGTTGAGTTTTTAAGGGAATCAGGTATAGCTTTGTCACTAACTTTATTTATCAGTTCTAAACTGTTCTCCCTATAGAGGTCAAGTAAGGACCGTCTCTTATAAGTTATTAATCTAGTGTTATTACAGGAGGAAACCTAAACTAAACTAACTTTATTGATACCTGATAGCTCTATCAGTTTTAAACTGTTCTTCCTAGAGGTCCAGTAAGTATCATCTCTTATTGATCCAGTGTTACTACAGGAGGAAACCTAAACTAAACTAACTTTATTTATACTGGATAGCTCTATCAGTTCTAAACTGTTCTTCCTAGAGGTCCAGTAAATATCATCTCTTATTGATCCAGTGTTACTACAGGAGGAAACCTAAACTAAACTAACTTTATTTATACTGGATAGCTCTATCAGTTCTAAACTGTTCTTCCTTAAAAGTTCATTTGCATTTGCTTAGGTCTTGAAGTCGAAGGGCTGTTCAGACGTTCCGCAAATATCACGGTGGCCAAGGCATATACAGCAAGTTTTAATCGAGGTATTTTATTCCGCATTCACGAGAGAATATTTTAAGCTATAACTTCATTAACACAAGCCTTAAAGTATCGTTCGGTCACGTACGTAGAGAGGAAACCACTGGACCCTTTGTCTGACCTAAGTGAAACTGAGGTTTATTGTTTGTCCGACCCGAGTGTATTGGTGTCCGACCTAACTGTAACTTTGTCCAACGTCAATCAAAATGTACCCTAGTCCATTGCTAGAGGCTCGTATGTCAGATGGAGAATCAGAATAATGTATAAAAAGTGAACTGGAAATGTGTAATGAAGTGCGGGGTTTTCACCGTGGGGTTCGGAAATTCATTGCCAAGATTCAAATGACTTTTCCAAATTGTGCTGATATTAATTAGTGTCTGCATTCATTATACAATTACTTTATGGTTTCCGTGTTTGGATGGCCTGATCCAAACACGCGGGAATGTTGCGAGAGTTAAGAAAAGCGAGCGAAACACGAGCCGAAGGCGAGTGATTTTGCCCGCTTTTCTTAACTCGAGCAACATTCCCAAGTGTTTGGATCAGGCCATCCAAACACGGAAACCATAAAGTAATTGTTTTATAAAATAACAACAACACGATAGTCTTCCGTGTTTGGATGGCCTGATCCAAACACGGGTTTCGACCAATCAGAATACGCGTTATATACATGTTATTTTATAAACGTATTTCCAAGCCAAACTTAAAACAAGCATTTTTAACAGAAAAGATTCCTTTGGCTGAGCTAAGTTTACCATATATTTAAGCAAACGAATCATTTGTGTGTACAAAAATTAATGACTTGTGCAAAAGTTATAAGACTAAGACTTATAGTATGATTAAAGCATCCAGGTGCAATTAGACTAAATTAGCAATCATTGCAATTAGGATAACTAGCAATTAAAGAATTGCCAAATAAATCTGCCAGATAGATCTTGTTTAATTTGACGGATTTTTGTCAACATTGCTATGATCTAGTAGGGTACAAACGCACGGAATACGTCACGATTAGCCATTCCGAAGTTGATAAGAGGACTGGGAACGAGTGTTAAAAGTGCCGAAATTAAGAAATGAACCCGATCACTAAAAAGACCACCTCAAAATTAGTAAGTATACAAAGTTTGAAGACGTTTACATGAATTCCCTTCGAATAATATGCTTTCGAAAATCGCGATATTTACTATGAAAGCTTATTATTCGAAGGTTATTGATGTAAACTTCTTTAAACTTTCTATACTTACTAATTTTGAGGTGGACTTTTTAGTGATTTGGTTCATTTCTTAATTTGGGCACTCTTCCGCAGTCCACTCATCAACTTCGGTGAATGGCTAATTAAGGTAGCCAATAGCATTCCCTTATTTATATAGATCATGTACGCGTGATATTTGTAAAATTTCGACTTTTTCAAATTGAGTGGATAAAAACTCATTGGACATCATAATACATATGTCCGACCCAAACTTAAATTCGTGGAATCTCTCACCGATATTTTAAGGCCGGATTAATAATACCTGTTTATAATCAAGTAAATCCAAGCATGCTTGGCGTTATCACTTAACAAATGAACAAATGTTGGGAACAGCTCAAACTTTACAATAACCTTTTTAACTCTCTAGGAGAAACTGTACAATTTGTTCAAGAAAAAGACATTCATGTCGCTGCTGTTTTACTGAAGAAATTTTTACGAGAACTTCCGGAACCCTTGCTGACGTTTCAACTCTACGATGATGATATTATGAGAATACATGGTAAGTATTAGATTGAACTGGGCTGGAGTAGAGAGCCTGTTCGCAGACTAGGCTGGAGAGGATCTAGCCTCATCTGCAAGGAGGGGTGCAGTTTTCCATGGGGTGGTGCATGAGGGAGCCTTACTGCCCACTCTCCTCTGCAGTCTGCAACGCTACTATCCCAACATTACCATTATCTGAGATGGCCGAATCTGCATGTTCGCCGTTCTGTTACGTTTTACATTATCTTTTGTTTATAAAGTTTATATCGGCTTTTTATCACGTATGCGTGACTGGACAGTTGCTGTAGCACAGTACAGTGAATTTGCTTGTTAAAGTACATGCAGTATATTTGAAAATATGGTTGTACAAAAATCTCGACATGTTTACGTATTTAACCACGATATTCAACTAAAGCATTCTGAATATTTTCTCATGAGCTCACAAATCGATTAAATCGTTTCAAGAAATCGCCACGCGCTAACAGTAGAAGTTCCGCTAATCGCTATTCGAACAGCAGAAAATGTATGGTCAAGCAGATTTTTTAGGGTGGTGCTGGACCTATTTTGAATTTTCTGTCATAATTTTTTGTCCGCAGCGTTACCTGACGAGGAGAAAGTGGAAGAAGTTGTGCGAGTTCTTAAGAGTGCTCTTCCACGACAGAATTATATCGTGTTGAAATATCTCATGGAGTTTTTGGTTCAGGTCAGTTGTAGATTTTTTATTCTTGTGGAAGTTCTTTACTGGACCTCTAGGAAGAACAGTTTAGAACTGATAGAGCTATCCAGTATAAATAAAGTTAGTTTAGTTTAGGTTTCCTCCTGTAGTAACACTGGATCATTAAGAGATTATCCTTACTGGACCTCTAGGGAGAACAGTTTAGAACTGATAGAACTATCCAGTATAAGAGTTAGTTTAGTTTAGGTTCCCTCCTAATGAATTTACGACAATATAAACTTTCCTTGTGTCCTCAGGTGACGAACAACGCGCACTTGAACAAGATGAATGCCTCAAATTTGGCGATTGTTTTCGGGCCTAATCTCATTTGGACTGAATCAGCCGTGGCCTCACTCAGTTCAACGGGCGCAATTAACTCAATAGTCAAAATAATCATAGAAAATGTGCCTTCTATTTTTGGCTAATGTAATATACGATGTATGTTGATATTAAGCTGTTGCATTATTGCAATGTAATTTATATTATGTTCCTATGCATGCAGTTATAGATTGGCTATGAGCCTATACCTCAAATGTATATTGACATTTATGGCTGTACGGAAATGTTGCCAAATGTTTCACAGAGGTGGACAAGCGCCCGAACATTTCTGTAAACGATTACAATATATAGGGAGCTGTCTTTTTATCTTATATAGATTATGTTCTTTAAGATGTGTTCTCGTATGAAGCAGTATGTCTTTAATTAAAGGACATTGGCAATAAAAAATTAGTTTAGTTCATTTGAAAGAACTCTTAAAACTATATATTAAACTCTATTACAGATTTTTTATATCTTGCTTAGTTTTCAAAATATTTCGACTGAAAAAGTGACTGTTCGCCATCTTCGATTATTGAGGATATGCATGTTACGTCAAGAGAGGGGTCACGCTAATTTTTTGCCTTGAGAGTAAGCGATCAATATATGGGTCCAAAACTTCTGTCTGAAATTTAGAAATGATTAAAAACATTTCAAACAATTTTGGATTGTATAACTCGGTCATTTTAGAGTAGTTTTTATTGTTAACCCAACTGCTGACATCATCAAAACCATAGTTACTGAGGTCAAGAATTAGTCCAAGATGGCGAACAGCTCATTAATTTCGGTCTAAATATTTCGAGAACTAAGCAAGATATGACAAATCTGTAATTTTTTATTGCCAATGTCCTTTGAGAGGCCTACAAGATATAATTCCCGAAGTAATCATAATAGTTACAATCTTACAGGATTAAAATGAATATTGCCGTATTTATACAGCAATATAAGCAAAACATACTGAACTTCAGACATCATTTTCTCTTTGGCGTAATAATTTATTCAAATGCCTGACCTAATTTACAGGTATTGCTAGAATATTCTATATATAAATATATATATATATAATTACATACAGTACAAGGTATTGAAGAAACGAACATATATAAAGTGAAAGTGTCATTATAGTGATTTACACATCTATTTTATGGATAATATAGATCGTATTCGTAGTTTCTAAGTAAGGGTTTTTTTATGACGTGAGTAAGGGTAATTTTTGTCTAGACTTGTTTAGATCAAAATTTAGTCAAAAATGCAAATGGTCCATTGGGGGGGGGGGGATGTATATTCATATATATGTGTTCTGCCCGACAGATTTCTTTTGAAAGCATTTGTTTTTATGGTATATGAACAGGAGTATATAAATATACACCCCCCCCCAATTATCGCGTCCAGTAACGGCCCTGCTTTTTGGTCAGTGCCCACCTGCTTTTGAGATGCTTTTGCAGCCTATAAAGTGATTATATTGGGGTACTCATAGCAGAAGTTTTTGGTTTTGCAAACATTGCATGGAAGTTCAAGAACAATTTGACAAACAGTTTGTGAAATAGACTGTAACATATCTCACTAACAGTAACATTGTCTAATATGTTAAAACCACGTGCCGGTCCACGTGGAATAAGGACTGGGCCACTGACCATATTTATATTATTATATTTACAATATTTCTATTTTCCCAACCCCTAAAAACCTAGCATACTTACGCACACTGCAGACAGTAATGCTGTCCACTGCCCGGCAGGTCTGGGTCATTCTGTGACGATAATTTCACCGAGTTTCCTGCTTCTAAATCTGTGTGAATCTGATCGATGTCCTTCGTCGTCTTGTTCGATACTTTTTCTTTTGGTCTTTGATGTTTTTATGCATTCTTTTACGGCGAAGACGTCCCATAGTTTCAATAGTTTAACAAAAAATAAAAATACTAAAGCCAGAGCAAGCAAAGAGCGAGTGTCTTCGAATGTTTTTTTGAACTTTCATGTGAAATCAAAATATGGCGTACCATCTAAAATCTCTTCACTTTAGCATAATTTTACAGATAAAGCACTAAACGCACTTTTAAAGTTTGTTTATTAAAATTTAACAAATTCGGAATATAGTCCTAACCAAGTGCAAAAATATATTCATTAGTTTTGAGCGCGTGAACATAAGAAGTTCTCCTCTTACTAGTAAAACCATAGACCAATTGCGAAACTTAGTGACCGCGCCTTAAACTGCACGAAAACGAGGCTTATTATGCAAAAACAAATCATTCTGCTATATTTTTATATGGCGAAAAATGAATTTCAGTGTTTGAGACGCGTTTTTATGGTATTCTCTTCATTTTTTTTCAATATTTCTGTTTTGATTATGTAAATCTTTATTAAACTTGTTCATAGATTTAGTCTTACTTCAAATCTCATTGTTTTTCGCGGCGTGCGAGGCAAAGTTTTGCTGTTTTTCGCCGTCCGATAAAAGAAGCAGATTATACCAGAGAAAGAATCAGGTATTTTCCGTCTGTTTTATTATTACATTTCAAAGAATAAGTTGTAACATTGATTAATTTTGTTTCAGTTGTAATATAATAGCAAGTTTTCGGTTTTAACTTTAAAAATATGAAAGTAAATGTCGGGCAAAATTTGTAGAAATTTTATGTTATTATCCTTTGACAAAATCGTTTTTTTCTCGCACGAAGTCTAAAAAATCTGGGTAGAAAGAGTTATATTTTAGTTTGTTAAGTTATACTGGCTATTTTATTTGCATCTTGATCCGATTTTAAAGTCTAGATTGATCTTTTTCATATGTTTGTTCCATCGCATGCTAGAACAACAACGAAATATCTCTCCAAAGCGGGTAAAAATATAGTGGGAAATCGATGTTTAGATAAATTTAACAAATATTTATATAACCTAGCACGAAATACTAAGAAAAGATCAAAGAGATTCAAGAAAAAACACTTTAAAAACCCTAAAATTCACTTTTCGCTATATAAAAATATAGAAATTGTTTTGTTTTTGCATAATAAGCCTCGTTCTCGTGCAGTATGAAGGCGCGGCCACTAAGTTTCGCAATTGGTCTATAAATATTAGTTTTGTAATAGATTCTTTGTAGATCTAAATAGATTCATATTTAATTTGTATAAAATTGTGATTTGAATGTATATTTAATTAAATAATTGGTAAACATCAGGCTCAAAGCACATGGCTAATTAACATAATTTGCTCAAAGCACATGGCTAATTAACATAATTTGCTCAAAGCACATGGCTAATTAACATAATCTGCTTAATACTCGCCCCAGGCTTCGAGATGGACTCTCTTCTTGAAGGCCGCCATATTGGAATTGATTTCACATGAAAGTTCAAAAATACATTCGAAGACACTCGCTTTTTGCTTGCTCTGGCTTTAGTATTTTTATTTTTTGTTAAACTATTGAAACTATGGGACGTCTTCGCCGTAAAAGAATGCATAAAAACATCAAAGACCAAAAGAAAAAGTATCGAACAAGACGACGAACGAAGGACATCGATCAGATTCACACAGATTTAGAAGCAGGAAACTCGGTGAAATTATCGTCACAGAATGACCCAGACCTGCCAGGCAGTGGACAGCATTACTGTCTGCAGTGTGCGTAAGTATGCTAGGTTTTTAGGGGTTGGAAAAATAGAAATATTGTAAATATAATAATATAAATATGGCCAGTGCCCAGTGGCCCAGTCCTTATTCCACGTGGACCGGCACGTGGTTTTAACATATTAGACAATGTTTCTGTTAGTGAGATATGTTACAGTCTATTTCACAAACTGTTTGTCAAATTGTTCTTGAACTTCCATGTAATGTTTGCAAAACCAAAAACTTCTGCTATGAGTACCCCAATATAATCACTTTATAGGCTGCAAAAGCATCTCAAAAGCGGGGGGGGCACTGACCAAAAAGCAGGGCCGTTACTGGACGCGATAATTGGGGGGGGG